GTGTGCGGATATGCGGGTTAGAGAAAGAGGAGCTATCACAAGAGGGGTACATGCATATTGAAACAAAGTGTGTGCTCGCATTGCGTATACGCAGCGTGGCCTCCAAAAAACCAATTAAATGAAAAAATCTCAAAGCCAAGTTGGGGGGCGTGCCAGCAAGGCAGACAATCATTAGCTTAAGGCTCGGGGATCTATCGGAGATTGCGTTAAAAATGTGCAGGCAGATTCACTAATGCAGTGGCGATGAAAGCCCCCTCGAAATGGAATGAAAATTAAACTGTGGATATTCTGGAAATTAAGGGTATGTACATAAAAGCCTGGGACATTCACACAAACTTATCCAAAATTAATAACAACTATTTTAAGCAGAGATAAAATGTTGCTTTGAAAGTTTGGCAAAAATATTTTCCTGGAAAAGTTTGGAAACTCTTCAAAATGGCTATAAATGTCAAGGAAATATTTGAAATATTTGTGAACTTTTGTAAATAGTACTTAAGCAAAGAAGGTTTCCTTTTGGATGTTTTTTGGATATTTTTGCATCATTTGGAAACTGTGTTCCCCTGCAACCCCCTATAAGTACCCAATTCTCACACTCCCCTGATGTGGCAAATAGCTGCAGCAGAATGCGATGCTAATGATACAGACCTTGTACCGCCCAAAGAACAGGGGCCACCTCCCGCCCAATACCGCCCCCCAATCACTTCGTGGAACCCTAAGGATGGCATGCCCTGGCAAATGCAAATCCAAAATCAAAAGCTCACTTTAGCTTTCCCAATGTGGTACGGGGGGGCCGCAAAACTTGGCGGCAAAAGTACACAATAAATTTGCATGCCACACACGGAACACGGAACACAGAACACATACACATACGCGCAGCGCACTTTTCTGAATAGAAATTGTTAGCACACAATGCCAGGGACCCACAACCCACAGACAGGACCCTAAAAACGGAGAGGCAAGAGTGCGAGAGGGGTGCGCGGTAAGAGTTTGGGCACTCGGGTGCAAAAAACGACAGATAGAGATAGAGACATATGCATAATGCCTAATAATCCGCATATTGTAGTGTCTGTATTATATGACTGTCGGACCACCAGTCCTCATCGTCATCGTCGTCGTAGTCGTCAGCTTGCAACACTGTGTGGCAAAAGGCGAATGTCATTATGTGGTCGCCACAGACCCAGACACAGACAGAGCCACAAATACAAACACAGCCACAGCCGCAACCTCCAACACTCGTATGCAAATATTGTATAAAAATTGCGGCTTAATCACGGCGCTGCAACACGAGCAATCCTCCAGTTGGTGGCTGAATGCGAATGCGAATGCCGCCAGGCATTGCCGCCAAAGTGCCTCAAAATGCAGTCAGAACAGCGCACAGAACAGTGGGGAAAAATTTTGCATTTTCAAATGAGATTCCATTCCTTCACAAGTGGTTTCTTTTCTCCAGTATTAATCGGACTCTTTAGGCACTGCACCACTGTGCCGGCAGGGCATTTATATATCGATGTGAAGCTTAGACGACGCCTGCCAGACTGCCACTGTGCCACAGACAAGTGTCGCTGCCACAGCTACCCGTGGGGTTAGTCCCATGCCTCTTTGGCAAGGCTCCACATGGCTCCGTCGCTTCACCGCTGCATTATGTATTTGTGCTCATGTGTGGCCTGCTCCTGTGGCTCCACTGGCACTCACTGGCACACCACTGGCACACCACTGGCGGCACCATCCCCAGTCCGAGACCCAGTCCCAGTCATGTGCCCCGCTCTGCTCTGGATGGTTTTTATGCCCGCAGATTTGGGTTAAAAGTAGCTTCCCTTGTGTATTTAATAGCATTCCTATTCCTGGTCGTGGTTCTGCTTCGTCTTCATCTTTTCCGTATAGCTGCAATTGTAATATAGAAAAGGGATATGGGGGGCTCCTTTAGCAGTTTTGTTTGGCATCTCATCCAACTCTCAGCTCTCAATTGAGAGGAGAAGAGAGGGAGAATATGTTGGGGAGGAGTTTCTTTACATCCGTGCCCTTGCTTTTCTATGCAAATTTTTCAGGTTTCAGGACTTTGGGCTGCTATTCGATGTTCTACAATGCAATATATAGTATTATATATACATAAATGTAGGAGCATGCATTTCCTTTTGAATTCCACTCACATTCCTATTGCTTTTCAATCCCATCTCTGCTCTCCTCCTCTACCATCGCCGACACTTCAGCTACTCTTGTCCGCCTGGTCACACTTGAATACAAAAGAGGCTGAGAAAGTGGCTAAGGCTGAGGCTGGGAGTTGTGGGTAGGGAATGCTTAGTTATTTATTTTCTCTGGCACTTAAGACTTTAATGGCACAACAAATGAAATTACAATTTGAAACAGAAATCATTAGGCAAATGAACGTTGCGGAAGAGCGGTGGGGAAAAAACTGTAGGCACACACAGGGAAAGGCAAATAGAACAGTAAACATCTCATTGCTGTTATTAATTAAGTGGCATTAACTGCCAAAGCCAGAAAGTCTCCAGACCCATTTCCAAATCATTAGCAGCCCCACCAATTCTGGTGGGGCTACTCAAACAGAAAGAAAGAAAAACCAAAGACACCAACAGCAGTGACAGCATTGGCGAAGTTTCGAACGAAAACGTAGGAAATTTTCACGATTGCACAGTGTGCCAAATGTAAACTTTTGCGAGTTCTTTGAACGAGACAAAAACAAAGCTGTAGCCCTGGATGAATAGAGCACATGTCCAAACAATGGCTATATCTGAAGATATATCAAGTCAAAGTTGAATTGAATGAATCCATATATTCAATTTCTCTCAACGTAAAGTGGCTTTGTTTTCGTATGGTAAGGTTCAACAATACCTCAGTTGCACAAAAACAAAACCTGAAGCAACAAATTTGAGCTTCACCAATAACAGCTTTGGACCATTTATTTACACCAATAACATTCCAACCCAAATAAATGTATGGCCAAATAAACTACACCAACAACAATTATTTACACAAAATAATTTCAACAACAACAGACCAATAAGTTACGCCATCGATGGTATTGAAAGCTAAATACAAAAACAATTACACCAACAGCATATTCAACAACAGTGGAACACAACAATTAAATACACCAACAACAGTTACATAAACAAATACGTTTCACCAACAACAGATGCACTCGTACACACCAAAAACATCATGTAAAGCTAAAACATATTGCAAATACTATCTACATTAAAAAAATTAATAGCACAAATTAATAGCAGCTGTACACAGCACCGATACAGCAGATGCAACAATACACAGCAGAATCGAATGTGCGTAGTCCGTAACAAAAGAACAATATCAGCAACACCAACAGATACACAACAACAAATCAACAAAGCAACAACAAATTAACAGCAGGGTCTGTGGCAGGAGAAACAATTAAAGCCGATAGCAACAAAAAATAACAAGAAGAAAAAAGCCAAAAACAATACTACTACAATCTCATATCATTAGATTTAATTGATTGGGCCTAACCAACCACATCAGCAACAGGCAATCGAAGGACAGAGAATAGAGTCCCATATTCTGGATTGGGGGACTGATTTTTCTGTTTGTGGACTGAGGACAGCTATTGCTTTTTGTGTGGCGAACGAATATGACCACAGAAGTGGATATAAAAATGTTTTGTGCCACAAAATTTGATTGTCATTGGAAATTGTCATAGGTTAACCATTGAAAACAGCATACACACACACACACACACACACACACACAAAGAAAAACAGGAAGCAAGAAAACGATTAAGATATCCGATATAGTAAAACCAATTCAAAAGAAAGACTTGTCAAACAGATCATAAAAGTCAAAACCAATTTGTAGTTAATTGGCGGGCAAAATGGCATTTAAACTCTGAATGTAAAAGCAGTTTCTGTAAGTTTCGAATCGAATGATTTCCAGCTTCATGAATGCTAAATGAGTTTCTGAAGACTTAACCATGTTGCCATTTCATTTTCATTGTGCAGAGTAAACTGAACAAGAACATTTTCGACATTTTCGTGTCAAGCCGTAAGTGAAATGATTCGGAAATGTGAGTGAGCATCGGAGTCTATGTCAGACTCTAAACAATGTCAAATTGTCAGTGGATCTCACCATGAACCATGTAGCACCATGATGAATGATGGCACGTTGGAAAGACATGCAATGGGCTCTCGGTCTGTCGGTCTGTCGGGCTGTTTGGAGTGCATGTCGGAGCTGGGCTGTAATGAGCAAATGAGTAAATGAGTGAATGGCTGGCTGACTGCATCAGACCGATGAAGCGGAAAGAACCTTTTCGCACATCGCACGATTCATCGTCCTGAAATTTTATAATTGATGCTCCACTGGGAGAAATACACGCACTTTGGACTTGTTTCTGCTGCCTGTTGGGCTCGCTCGTTTCGCTCAGTGCCCCCGTGTTTGAGTGAGTGGAAGGGAAGAGCTGTCTGACCGATAATTTCACAAGTATATTGATTCAGTTCAGATTCGCTTACTGCTGCTCCATGTTAGCCACTCTTCACTGTATGCCCGTGCCCCTCTCTGGGCCCTGTGTGAACACTGGCAGCTGCCACTCTTGCCATTATTTAACATTAATTTATGCATTACTAGAGAGAGCTTAAATTAATCAGAGAATTTGCCAAAGGAAACCAAACCGAAATTAAATTTGCCACAAAAAGCTTTTCCACAAACCAAACCCAACCAAAAGAGAGAGCAGCGGGAAAGAGGAAAGGCTGTGTCGAACAAAGAGTACAATTTAGTTAAGGCAAAAAGGGATTACTCTCAACCAAAGACAAAGCAAGTGGTGCACAAATTAAAAACACATTTTACATATATGTACATGTATCTATGTATAAGCTGTACATTAAATAGAAGCACAATGCATTTTCCTTGCAAATGAAATCCTTTCGTACGCCACCTGTTGACACTTTATTCATTTAAAGTTTTCCCGTTTTCCTTTCAGCTTTATGTTTTCCAGCAACTAAAACCGAAGCCAAGCCACATCCGGATCAGCCCAAAACGACAGCACTCTAGGTGAGTCCTGGACCTCTACTGCATGTCTATTCATATCTTCCCCATGATATAAACACGATTTCACCTGTCTAATTGGAGGTAGTGCAAAGGGGGCGGTTCAAGGGATAGCACATGGGTCCAGTGAACTTTGGCGAGTAATTGGTAGGCATCACGGAGATTTCTCCTTAGTATCAGCATAGTCTTGGAGACATCTTGCTAACAAAATTCGCTGATATCTTATTCATAAGACAGTTCCTCTTCAAGTTCCCTCACAGTCGTGTCTTCTAGCAAAATCTACTTTCCGAGACATAGTCTAGCCCCAGTCACATCGCAGGGATTCTGGCAAATTTAAAATGCATCTCAAAGATCGAAAACTTGTATAACAGTTGCCCATCATCTCTCTGGCACTCTTTGGTACGCTGCTGAGTATCTGTTGGTCGATCTTTAACTTTAACTTTGATATGCTCTTGCGATTCCTCTCAAAGTCAGTCAGTTCCTCTGACAGCCGCCTCTGGCAGTTCTCTTGATTTGCAATGTTGTGAGTGGCACTATGTGGCAGAGTGGCAGAGTGGCAAGCGGCAAGCGGTAGTCCGGGGGTCACGATTTTCAAATGAAATGCATTTGCAGTGAACTTTTGCTGTGATTTAATGATGTGCCAGAGCCTCGAGCAGGTCCTCGAGAATACTCTCAATACTTACTTGAATAAATTTGAATTCAGGCAGCCAGCCCAGAGACTGTGAGTTCGAATACGAGTACCGGTACGAGCACTAGTATATGCAGGCACTTCTATTGCCATTCAGCATTCATCGATGTTGTCAGCGACTGAACATATTTGCGGTTTTAATTAGCTGCAATTATGTGATTAAATGCAATCAGATTCTATGAACATGGCGCTGCGGACGGTTGCAAAATCACACACAGAAGTGAGATCTGGGGCTCCACTGCATTTTCGCATTGCAATTTTCTGGCGCCGTCGCCATTTTATAAATGCCAATTAATTATGATGACAACAAGCAGTTACAGAATGGAAAACAGCGCCATTTTGACAGATTAATCTGTAAATTGTCATGCATATGCTCTATGGTGCTATGTACACGCGAATGAAGGCACATCCGTGACATCCATGAATCCGAGAATGCAAATTCCAGAAAAAATATTGTGATGACTTTTTAATTAAAATTAATAAAATTGTGATTGGTAGATGAAAATGAATAATCAGAGGACAGCAACTATTATTGTTATTATTTTTTGGTTTATTGATTCCGGACAAGTAGCCCGCGTAAGACCGATTATTCCTCGAGTTAAGACTACACTGAATACATATACAAGCATTTCTATATAATAAAGATGAATTACGGTTGAATTTTCGATTGATGGACTGGCAATAAAAGTTATACACAAAGTTCAACAAATAAAAAATGATTTCAAGCGTGCTCTTCTAGAACTAATACATTGCTATATTTCTGAATATTAGAGAACACTACTATGCCTCAATCTGCTTCTCTCATTCGCCATGCTCTCACGCCAGCCCACGCAAGGGTATCGAAATATTGCTCATACGCCATGGCGTCTCCCCCCGATGGATGTCCAAATACCAATATCCACTTATTAGCTACAGACTCCCCCGGCAGTTGAGTTCCCTGTGCCGTTCTGGCCAACAGACAAATGACCGCTTTTATGGTCAGAAATCAAACACAAGACCACAAATACTTAAACTTATGGAGGGCTAAGGGATATGGACTCAGTCGCACACCGATGTGCTGTATGCAAGCCAGCAAATACGGCATCTATGTAGTATATGCATACTCGCAGGATACTCGTATATTGGGTCCTTGCCAAGTGCCCGAATGTGTTGTCCTCGCTGAGGTCTTGCTCTGGCAAAAGTTCTAATTTTTCAAAAAGGGGCAAGAAACACAAAAAAAAACACACACAAAACCTCAAAACCACAAAATCAACTACAAGCGACTAAAGGATACCCTTTGGGTTGCTCTTCTGCTATACTACCAGTTGTATTAATTCGATTCTTCCGTTGATTTGGTTTTTACATTCATATTTGTGGCGTGTCTGGCAAGTTTGCGGTACCTCTAAATTCACGCAAGTTCATTCTACCAGATGCAGATCATAGATACAGATCTTCGAGCACAATATACCCCATAGATGTTGTCGAGTTTCCTGGCGAATAAGAAAACACATTTCTTATTACAAATCGAGGCAAGCAGCGTGCCAAAAGAAAAGACCGTTTCGATCCCCATACCCGCACCCATCCCCATCCCCATCCCCACACCCAGACCCCTGTTTTATTTTCATTCCCATAAGTGAAATAAGTAGGAAAAGAGGAGGCAAAACCAGGGAACCAAACCATCTGACGCACTTATTTTGCGCTTTGAATCCAATCACGTACCAATTTTCCAAATTTAACCTTTTTGAGCCTCGGCCCTGCCACCGGGGGTAGGGTCTGGGCGATTGGGTGATTGGGGGCTGCTGTGGGGTCAGTAGGGTCAGTGGGTTTTGCTGCCAATAAAAACCATTTGCCAGAGTGAAATTTATATGAGCGTGTCGATAAAAAAAAAAAATAAAATACATATATATCAAGAAGACCAAAAAGAGAACGAAACGAAATGAACGAGACACGAAAGCAGTGAGAAAAGAACGCAACTGTAAAGTGGAGAGAAAAACAGAGAGGGGAAAGACCGCAGGCCATGGCGTTCTTTGAACCGTTTCAATTGACCGAAGGCACGGGCTGTCCAGCTCCGGCACTCCTTACTATTCTTCATGTGACGCCCCCATCGCTCTCCCTTCCACCACCTGCTCATCCATGTCTGGGAGAAATTGGGGGGTTAGTTTCTGCTGGAGATGGCACCGCGTGGCCGCGTGCATCAACACTCTTTCTTCCCCAACAAGAAAATTCACTCCATGCCATTTCCAAAAAAAATTGTGATTCAATACTTTCTCCAGCCGCGTCTTGCTACCCTCCCGTGAGTGGGCTCCTTCTCCAACGTAATCTTCCGGGAGTCTACTCTTTCTCGTGACCCCTGCTCAACCCCAAGTGGACTCTCTTTGGCTTGGTTTTCCCGATTCAGCAGCCGCTTTCCATATTAATTTCGAAGTCTGCGTAATTTGAACCGTTTTCCCCAAAGCCCAGTCACAGCCTCTTTGCCGTCTACCATTTTTGCTCCTTTTTCGTTTTTTTCGTTGGCTCCTCCGATGCCTGTAAGCGACACCATAAAATATTGAACGTGTGGGGCAAATGCACTCACACTCAGACCCATTCGCACAGCCAGACAGACAGGCAGATATGTACATGTACAGAGTGCACTCATATGGGGGGAGGGGATGAGGGCTCCACTGACCTCGCCAACACTTTGAACCCATCGATGGGGACTCGATTCTTTGGCCTCTCCTCATTCGAGCTTCGAAAAGAACCAGCAAAGAAGAAGGATTTCGTTTTTTATGCCACTTTTTGGCTTTTGTGCTGCCAACGTCCTGTCCCCCCCACTCCTGACCCCGTTCTCCTGACTCCCGGCTGACGCCTCATTTTCTTTATTTTTTCTGGCAGCACGCGCATTACATTACATTACAACATTGCCGGAATGGGTTCGCGTCCGGCCCCGGCCCCGTCCCCAGCCCCGGCCCGTGCTCCGGCTACGGCTCCGGCTCCGGGTCCTGCTCCTGCCTTCGGGCGCTAAGTGGGAGACCAGAGAGAAGCATCGTTTTCCTTCAACATTTTACTCGCATTTCGGTCAATTGTTGTTTGCCCCACCATTCTATTCGAGTGCAAGTGTGAGTGTCAAGTGAGTGTTTGGGCTATTCATTGGCCGGGAAATGTTTGTGCACTCGAATTTAATGTAATGGATATCCTCGGAGTGGTCTACGAGTATGTTCTTGATCGGCATCATTATCTTCCCATTCCAAATATGTATTTAGCAGATCGAATACATACTAGTATAGCCGTCATATGTACGTACGTATGTGGAGAACTATCAATCTTTAATGAATTTAATGGTAGCCTTCCTTTCGGGTTTCGAATGCCAAGAATTCCCAAGTTTTCACCCATGATTTTCCACTCTCTGTGCATCGCATTTCGTTCGTTTTTCTTTTCTTTTCTTTCCATTCCATTTTCATTCGCTGCTCGTATTTTTTTTTTTTTTTGCGTACAAATTGATGCCATCTGTTCGACGTTTAATGCCTCGGGATTTTGGCTTGCGTCCTGCAACACTTTCAGCGCTTTTTAATGCAGTGGCTGCATAATTTTTACGCCCGTAAGTCGCCTGCATTATCCGGGCCATAAATCGAACAGGAGACTCCCTCTCTATATCTCCTCCTTCTGCTGCTTGTGCCGCTGCTGCTGACCCTCGGTCTCCTGCTCCTTTCACATCACTTTTTCTCGCCGGCTACCGAATGCGGTGGAGCAGTTAATTTTGGTCAGCATTCTGCTCGATATTCACTCGATTTGCCCCGAGTACTCCCCATATTCATGTACTCACACACACAAGGATCCTAGGACCGGTACACACACCTGACCCGAAAGCCACTTAAGAGCCATTCAAATTACGTTTCATTACGCTTATTGAGGAGGATGGGGGCGGACAGGTAACAAACCGTTTTTATGCGCTATCCATTCCCTGGAAAAGTGCCTTTGGGGCGGGGTCAATTTGCTACCCTACAATACACTCACTCGTAAATGAATGGTATTTAAGTGGTGAGCGGAAAAGGTTGCGGCCTCAAAGTTACACTATAGAATTCATAGAATATAGTTTAGATTGAATATACATTGAAGCTTATCCATTGGTATTTTTCTATCCATTCGCGCATCGTACGGCAGCGCCCCTCGGTCGCTTGGGTATACAGGGTATACAGCGGTCGATTGGTCCAGCGGAAGGGCAACGGAAGTGGGAATACCCACTTTGTTTTATGGCTCCATTGCCATCGACCCCGTTCCAAACTTTTGAATTCAATTTGTTTGGCAGGCCAAAAGTTATTGATTTAATTCGTATCTGGGGAATGCTTAATCAAAAATATGTACGAGTACGAAAGGAGATACCCAAACGCCAGACACCGGCGAACAACGGACAGCATACAGACGACAGTGGACCTCGTACTCTTTCCAGAACGGGGAAAATAAGAAAAATGAGATGAGAGAAAAGAAAACAAAAGAAAAAAAAGTACATACAAGTTTGCGAGAAAATGTAAGCGACAATGAGTGTATGATGCTCCTCGTTACCGAGTCGAAGTGGAGACCACCTTCAGTACAGAATGATAGCAACAGAGCAGGCCAGGCCTCCCTTTTGGGGATAGTTGTACTCGAATATCGATTTGGATCATCATTTTTCACGTTGGTTGGCCATGGAACGGTACTGTCTGTCAGTTATCCTGTCGCCTAGATGGAACTTGTGTTCATTTAGGTCAGTACGAAATTGCTTGTTGAAGTTACAACATTTCCCAAAAAACAAAATAAATATTTTATTCAAAATATTTATTTTTTGATACATTGAAACAAGATGTCTACCATATACAGACCGAATACGAGTCCGAGGCCGACAAAGCAGGAGCGACGGATGAAGGCCATCAAGCGTTTGGATCAACTGTCGCGCGATCCGGGCCAATGTCCTATTGCCAATTGCAGTCAATATGTCTTCCCCTCGGGTCTGATGTCGCACCTGCGCCGTTATCACGCCCGGAACCCGAACCTCGTCTTCCGCAGTGCCTATGAAAGCAAGCCGATACGGATGAAGCTCCCCGATCCCCGGGGCTTCGGTGAGTGCGATGTGCCAAAGTGCATCGGCGTGCTGCAGTTCGGTGGCATATACAAACACCCGAAGACCGCTCCAGGGCACCATTACCTGTGCGTCGCCAACACCGATTTGGACCAAGATCATCAGAAGTACAAGGACTACTTGCCCATGATGATAATGGTGAGCAAGAGCTCGTGGCATGACATACTGCCTTCCGCCAGGATGCGCAACACGAAGGAGCAGTGGAAGAAGACTGAAGGAAGCCAAAACGACGGTTCCGGGCTCCTTGTCATCTGGCTGGCATCGCCCTTGACTGTGAAGCCGTTCCACTACACCATAACCTTTTTCAATGGCTCGTACAACAATTCGATTAGCATGATACGCAAATCGCGCAGCTTCGTGGACAGCCAGATACCCAGCAATTTTCTCTATGAGAAGAACGACTTCGTGATCCTGCGTGACTTGGATATCCAGCTGCTATTGGAGAGGCCCAAAGAGAAGGGTGACCAGGCGCAGGGCATCCAAATGGAAATAATCGTACACGAGCTCTTGTCGGGCTCCCTCCTCACGCAGCTGGGGTACCAATCGACCTCTACCGAAGAGTGCAACACAGTGGAAGTGGCAATTCCAATAGTCTTCGATAGAGAAGAAGACACTAAGGACGCTGAAGATGCTCAAGCTGATGTTGATGCTGATGCCTTACAGGATGGAGCATCGCCAACGGATTCTGAGGATGGGTCGTCATCACATACGGTAACAAATTCGGAGGTTGCGCTTGAATCGGAACAGCCAGTTCTGGCACAACGAACTGGAACGAAGATTGCAACTGAATCGAAGGTCCCACCTGGAACTATGGCTGGAGCGGGATCAAACCCTGAAACTAAAACTGCCACTGAAGAAAAGGCTGCAACTCAACCGAAGGCAACTAAAACTATGGTTCCAACTACATCAAAGGAGGCACCTGAATCTAAGGCTGAATCTGGAACGAAGCCTGCAGCTGAATCGAAGGTTCAAACTAGAACTGTGGTTGTACCTGGATCAAGTCCTCCAACTAGATCCAAGTCTGTTACTGAAGGAAGGGCTACAGCAGGTGCGAAGGCTTCCACTAAATCGAAGGCAACTAGATCATATATTTCCACTAAAACTATGATTTCAAATACATCAAAAAATGCACCTGAATGTAAGGCTGAAACTGGAACGAAGCCTGCAACTGAATCGAAATTCGCAACTGGAACTGGATCAAGCCCTGCAACTAGATCCATGTCTGTTACTGAAGGAAGGGCTACAACAGGTGCGAAGGCTTCTACCAAATCGAAGGCAACTAGATATATTTCCACTAAAACTATGGTTGCAAATACATCAAAAGACGCACCTGATGCTAAGGCTGAAACTGGAACGAAGCCTGCAACTGAATCGAAATTCGCAACGGGAACTGGATCAAGCCCTGCAACTAGATCCAAGTCTGTTACTGAAGGAAGGGCTACCACAGGTGCGAAGGCTTCTAGCAAATCGAAGGCAACTAGATATATTTTCACTAAAACTATGGTTGCAAATACATCAAAAGATGCACCTGATGCTAAGGCTGAAACTGGAACGAAGCCTGCAACTGAATCGATGGTCTCAAGTGGAACTACGGTCGGAACTGGATCAAGCCCTCCAACTGCATCCAAGGCTATGACTGAAGGAAGGTCTACAACAGGTGCGAAGGCTTCAACCAAATCGAAGGCAACTAAAACTGTGGTTGCAACTAAATCAAAAGAGGGAACTGAACCAAAGGCTGAAACTGGAACGAAGACTACAACTGGACCAAAGACTGAGATAAAAGCTGCACCGATGCCAATTCAATCGGATGTCGAATCGGAAACCGACAGCGAATTAAAAATAGATAACCTTCTGAAGCGCTTTGGCTGTAAACTCAACTCGGGCAGCTCAAACTCGTTAGCTGGATGTAATGATCTGCAGTCTGCAACTGGAGCAAAAACTGAGATGCCAGATAAGCCGATGGTAAATTCCGAATCGGATACTGAGAGTGAACCAGACGACTATGCCGTCCTTGTGCGCCTTGGCTATGATAAAAGCTCGGAGAGCTCACTGTCGTTATCAAGTCTTTCTGATGTATCTTCCGAATCTAGCGTTTAAAATCACACCACACCCAAACACTTTTCAAATTACTATTCAAATTTCTTTAACGATTTGTTCATAATGTTTATCGTATAGATGCCTCTATTCAGAATAATATTTTGGCATATTTTGGGCACATAAAAGTGTTACTTTTCTTTGGGATAGATTGAAAGTAGTTTAAAATCTTACGCAATTCAGGCATATACGGGGACATATGTAGGTGTACGATGACATGTGTCTAAATACAGTCCCACCATAAGGTTTGTGCAGGTTTCCTCCATCAGTTTGCGATCTTTCACATCAAAAGTGTTGAATTTAGGATTGCGGGCAGATAAACCTCTGCAGCATGGTGAATCCTTAACCTACTATTGTTATGATCCAATTCTCATCCTTTGTCGGTAAACAGTTCTCGGTGCAGGAAAGGAAAAAGTACAGTCACACCAAACTGCAGGCTATTTCTGTCAAACTGACACTCCCGACTAAAGAGAGAGAGAGAGAGAGAGAGAGAGAGAGAGAGGGACTGGAAGAGGGAGTTAAGTGAGAAGAGAAGTGTATGAATCTCATTCAAGAGTTTCGCACTCGTAAACGAACGAGCGGCCAGCAAACAAAAACAGGATGAACAGGATGCTAAAGCGAGAAGCTGCCAGAAAAGAGCAGGTGGCAGGCAGTGGCCTTGCGATGTTGCCCCAAACGCAGACCCAACTTCCACTCCCCCTCCCCCTCCCCTTCCACCACTCACCACCCTGCTGTCCGGAGGTGCCGGGGCGAACAATGCAAAAATCGGACAGCGCTACAGCATCGCATAGGAAAAGGGGCGAAGTGGGCGAGACACAGAGAGCTTTCCACAAGCGGCAAAAGGTGAAAAATAAGAATGGCAGGCAAATAGCAAAAACAACAACAGAAAATCTTCTGCCACTGCCACTACCACCGACCTACCGTTCTGTGGCAGAAGCAAACTTTTGAATAATTTATCCTGCGTTGAAAGGACGTTTTCATTAAAATTCGCCAACGTATTTAAAGTGCGAGATAACTCGCCGGCGAGCGACGATTATTCAAGTGAAAGTTCACTTTCCTGCCAGGGAATGCAGAATGTACTCGTACGTATTCAAGATTATAGCTCCTTTAATCCATTCACTAGACCTGCCCCGGGATACACAAATCTCTTTGGAATCGTTTGGAATTCCCCATAGCATCACTTCCCTGCTCGATATCTCCTTTTGTTTGAGCCTATGCACTGGAACGAAACGGCTCGAATCGTTTGAAGCGTGAAAGGAAACGTCACAGAAATAGAGGCATAGATTTCGTTTCAAAGCATTAAAAGATATCATTGTATTTAACATATGTGTACTTATTTTGTTTGACTGGTGACTGTCACCGACTGTTCTGAAAATCTTGGATACTTTTGTTTGGGCGTGAGACTTGTATTGGTTGGTTGAACGCATCGTTTCAGACAGAAGGAGTGATCGGACATGTCCGAAAAACTATTCAAATCATATCGTTTGTTCGGCTTTGGCCACAACAAAATATTTGTTCAGTACTTAATCATCCAATACCCCAAGGGTGATTCCAGTTTTATCTTTATCTAAGCTCTCCTTTGAGCTTTCCTACTCTTCTATCTGTCTGCTATTTTGTTTGTGCTGAGTGACTTCCTGTTTTTGGAATGTCCTTTATGTCTTGTTTTAGTTGCCTTTGCCAAAATTAGCCATCTAAATCATTCCTCAGCTACCACTTCCTCGACCATTTCAATTCCCAACTCTCCATTCTTTTCCCCACTCCTTGCCACTTTCTTCTGGCCTCTTTAGCTTGTTTGTCAAAAGTGAAATCAGCATAAAATAAATTTAATGTCTGCCGCACGAAGCCAGCAGGGGGGAGGGAAAAAGAGAGGATGCAAAAAGCATCTACAAAATAATAATTTTCAATGGGCCAACGGCAGTTTAAAGCACAAGAAACATAATTTTGTTAATTCTCCACTATTTCTTTCCCTTTTATCTTTGTGTCTGTCGCTGTCTCTATTTCCCATCTTCCTGGTTATTCTTTGTACAGGGTACAACATAGAACACTAGGGTATATTGTACTCAAGTAAATGTAGGAGAGAAGAAAGCATTCCCTAGGTCCCCTAGGTGTTGTCTGGGTTCTGCCTGGGTTCTGCTAGTAACAAACTCCAACTTGGATGCAATTTTCTTTCGATTGTAACATTTTTACATGATTCTTCAGATAATTTCCCTAATAGCGGGTATTCCTTTAGTCGAAAAGTCGACACATAGCTTTGTATGTGGTTTTTTTTATATACATACATATATATATATAAGAATTTTTTGTGTTGTTTCAAGCTGAAATATGGCGCATTCGTGGCTCGCATATCTCTCTCGCGGAAAGCATCCACATCCAGAGCTCGCTCTGTGTTTGTACGGGGTGGCAGTGGCACTCGTACAGCGAGTGGTGTTACAGGGGGAACCCCTGGTATATTACCGTTGGCTACAAAATGCAGAGTACCGCGGTGGGATGAGCAATTTTGCTGTGCAACTGCCCGGCTCCATTACGAGGGTCCAGGCTCCAGGCTTCAGGCTCCAGGTTCCAAGCTCCAGCTCCATCGTATTGCTATATTCCATTCCATTCCGCTTTTGGGGTCCAGCGTCGTCGTTTCATCGTGCAATTTCCGCACAAGTGTTGGCAATATAAAAATAGCGACAAAATATAAAAGTAATTTATGTTTGCCTTTTTCCATATCATTTCTATATGCATGAGGTGGTGGCACGAGGCGGTGCACCGCGGTGGCACGGCAACAGCAACGGCAACGGCAGGAGATGTAGTGCATGTGGCGGAGTGGTTTATAAAAAACATTTCTCCTACTATCTTACACCACCCAGCCCTCCTTTGAAATATGCGTAAAAAATGCATGCTGATGCGCTCGTTTGCATGCAGAAAAACTGCATTTAATTTATTAAAATAAATATTTTCAAGCTCAGCACGACAGTGTTCGGCGTTCATTGTTCAGTGTTCAGTGTTCAGTGTTGGATAATAATGCATAATTTATATGAACGCTTAATGTCAACTGCTTGGGCGGATGATGCGATAGAAAGCTTTTGGTGTCGGGTTTCGAATGCCAGCTGCATTCTCGTTCATTCATAATTAAGGATTCAATTTGATTAACCAATCGCATTGCCCAATGAAATTTACATGAGATTCGGCCAGAGATTAAATATGTTTAGTCAGAAGTTTCATTTGAATATTGCCGAGTGCGCATATAATTACGCAGTAGGGCACTGGCCACGCCTTCTGCCATTATCCAACCCCAAAGCCGAGAACCCAACCGCAGCCCCCACCGCCCCAACTGTCACTCACTGCCATCACATATCCATTAGAGTATATACCTACACACATACATATATGTACGCGTATATAGCCACTATAAAGGACTCACATGAATATATCAACAGGCGACAGGCGAATAACTAGCTCTATTTCACACACACAGCGCTCGGGGCGGGGGTGTATGCAGGAGGGGAGGCGGTCTAAATGCATTCAAATAAAAGAGTACAAAAAACAGCATACAGTTGCCACGTCGCTTTAGGACTTTTGCATCCGACTATGAACGAATTTCCATTTGATTTCCCCGATTCAGTGTGCATTTCGAATTATTCATTTCATTGCCCCGATCCAATGAAACGTCAACGGTTAGACGACTTCTGGATTGAAGGCTTTTTCCAATTATTCAAGCATTCTGCTAGGCGTTTAATTGAAAGCCCTATCGATATTACTTACAAAATCAGCATTGATTGCACTTTCAATACAAATTTTAATATGAATTATTTTCATACACATGGCGGCACATATTTAAATATTTGTCAACTAATACAATAATTACTAGTAATGATAAATACAACCAGTATATCAATATAAAATATTAATCGATAAATATCGATCAACCACAACTCAACAATCAATAAACCCAAGGCCATTTCTGTTCATTATAATTCTCGATATATATGTATAAATACTGATTTATTCAGTATAAAATAAAGTGATAATTATAGATCAACCCATATAACGATTGATCGATCTCAACTGCCTGGACCCCAGAACAATGAACGTACCCAAGCCCATTCCTGTCGAATGCCCGAAAGTGTGCCTCATCTAGGATCTACCCTAGCCACATACATATCCAGTGGATAAAACAAGCTCCAACAGATACAAATAGACCCCCGTCTGACCTCTTTGCCATGAAAACGAATTGCCAACGTAAATTATACACAATTTTGGACCGTCCACATGGCATATTTTCACAGCTCATCAAGTATGCAAAGAGATAGAGACAGATGATAATTGAGAGAAAGGCCGAGCGAGAGTGGGAGTGGGAGTGGGAGTGGAAGAGGAAGAGTGGCCTCTCAACGGTAGAAGCAATTCAAAAAGTTAACAAATAAAATTATGCAAAAAAGAAAAAAAAACATTAAAAAAATAGGAGTAAAAGAAGCGAGCGGTGCACAAACAAATTTGCAGACGGAGGAGGGAAATAAAATCTGACTCTGTAATATGCCGAAAACTGTGTTCATAGTGTAAAAATGTCTATTTACATAGTCATGCATCATGGACAACAGAATACGAGTGGGGGAGGGAGACAGATGCAAAACGAGACGAAGAGACAGAGAGAGACGGCGCCTTAAGCGCTTAGTCCCGTACGTGGACTCGTTGTTTGGGGGGTAAAGCCAAAGGAACGAAAAAATGGAAATATCTGTATGGAAAAGTTCATAAATTTTCAAACGCAACACGAGAAAGACAGAGACAGTTAGAGAAAGGTACAGCCAGCGGAGGAGACGACACAGATTGCGGCAAAACTATTTGCAACAGCAGTGCAAAAGTAAAATGCAAATAAATCCCCAAATGCCTGTTTCTGTTCCTGTGACTGTGACTGTTCCTGTTCCAGTGCCAGTGCGCTCCTCTCTCTCTCTCTCTCTCTCTCTCTCTCTCTCTCTCTGACCGTGGGCCCCATTCTATGGGAGCAAAACTGTGCCAGACTAAACAACAAAAACGACGGGAAGGCAGGCGGGGCAGGCAGCCAGTTGTGTGGCACGCTAATTTTCACCTCATGCCCCTGCCTCATGGCTCGTTTCCCAGCTGAGAGATAGCCGAAAAACGGCTCCCGCCCCCCACCTGCCATCTCCCACACACATCGCATACTCGTATGTATGCAAAATATGCCCACCAGGTGGACAGCACAGCACAGCAGAGCGCAGCACAGAAAAACATCTGCAAAATCTCTACCAAAAATATTTTGCAATTTTCTTGCAGATTCGAGATTTGAGTTTCCGCCATTTACGTGCAAACATTATTTCATCACGAAACTCAATTGCGAGTTTAATGTAGCACCTTCATTTATTTCTAAGAGAAGGAAAGAGCGACCGAGAGCCTTCAAGATCCCCAAGCAGGTCGCCTAGCCCGGTGCGAGGCCTTTTTTCGGCCTACCGGAGTTTCTCAATATTTTGACCGGTTGTAGAGCGATCATAGGTTTTTATAGGAGGAATGGTTATCACCATACTTGTATTCCGCTATGGAGCTCTGCGAGCTCAGATCTTATTCATAAAACGAACCTCCTTTTTGTTGTCTCTTATCGTAAGGGTAGGATGCCCAAATGTTCATATGATTATTCCATGGTACTCACTTTTAAATGATAAAATCACTAGCTTTTGACCTCCGCTCTTTCTGTGGGCTTGTCTTGCCTCTCAAGTGGTTTTTTAGTGACTTTTTCATATGAGCATCTTTTTTATAATCCATCAATCGATGCTTTCCATGTCCATGTATTGATTTGATAATATACCCGGTGGCAGGACTTTGGTAGCTTCGATCACTTGGGCACTGGCTCTCAGCGTTTTCATTGCTTCGCTCGCCAGCTGGGATTTCCACAATATTTAGTGTGTATTTATTCAAGGCTCTAGGTCCTACACAACCTTGGTCGAGGGAGTGCTGGGGTCACTGTTATAGAACCAATTCAATCGAAATCGCTTTGCCTCCGAATGGCCGGGCTTTATCTGTCCTGAGAGATTCCACCGGCGACACACCGGATTAACTTAAACTGCCTCCGATCCGTTCCCCCTTCTCTCCACTCCCTGTTTCTGTACCCAAGTATTCCCCAGCTTGAAATCATTGACAATCTGCTGACGTTTCGCCCCACGCCCCATGACCCAGAGGAAGGCACTGAAACGAACAAAATACAAAATAAAGGAAGCTCCAAATGAAAAAGAAAAAAAAAACATAAAAATAAAAATAAAAAAATAAAAGGTACTGGCACAGACACACACGTGAAAGCATTTTGTCGGACCGGAAGTCGCATAATTTCAGAAGCGGAAACAACTAATTTGATTGTATTTAGCACCATTCCGGGGAGTGCCGTTCCGGAGTGGGCCTGGGGGGTCCTGTGGGAAGTCCTGCTGGCTTAATGAGCAGCTTTTTAGTTGCAATTAGCTGGCAAAGGCAGTCAAGCTTCTGTTTGACCGAGAGTTGAGTCCGAAACGAGGGCTTGTGCGGTTTTACACATTTCACTTTCATCATTCGCATAAAGCCTTTCGTCCAGCTGCTCCACGGGGCATGGGAATGGCCATTGGCCAGGATCTGGGGCTTGGGAAAAAAATCTGCTAACTTTTTAATGCGCTCAAATGCTGTCGGGGCCTACAGTTGTGGCGGGGTGGAAGCGGAAGCCTGGCAGAAGAGTGGCAGCTACCGGAGAAGCGCAGCGAAGCGAAGCGGTATGACAGCTGTGAAACTGCTGCAGATCCCTAGCTGACAGCTGGGAAACTATTCCTCAAACACTGCCACACTGTTTGCAACGAAAGAATTTGTTTGAGTTTCAGTTTCAGGTGTATCCCCTATAAAACTGTGCATTTTCCGACTCTAAAGTCGGCAATTCTACCCCTGGCAATGCTGCTTATATTGCGAAGAAGTTTGCTTCCTAAGTAACTTTGCCTTAGTCCTAAGATATTCTTAAAAATATATACATGTAGCTATAGGTTCTATGGCCAAAGGACTGGCAGGAGTATAATTGATATACTTACCTATTTAAACGTGATCTATAACTAACTTATACTAGCCGAAAGTAGAGTTACCAAACTAAGTTCCATTGCTCTCAAAGGAATGTTAAGCTCCGAGGCAGTACAATAAATAAACCAGTGTCCGACACTATGGCGTTTCGCCATGCAATTCCCGAACAAAGTTTACAACTCAATTTGTGGAACATCCCCCAGAACATATCCATAGTTAATGATCTTACGCCCCGAACCGAGAGCCCAGAACCAGTTAATATTACAGAAAACTTTTATGGATAGAGTGGGAATGGAGATGGAGATGGCGATGGCGATGGGGATGGGGATAGGGAAGCCTTTTGACAAGCGTCGTCGCTGTCGCTGTCGCAGTCATAACTTTTACCGCTCTTGTTTGTTGTTTCTATAATTGCTCATTATGCTGGCATGTGCCCCTCCCTTCGACCACTGCCTGCCCCCCATTTGCAGCTTTACAGCTTGCCACAATGAAAACTTTTTAGTTGATTTTATGTTATACGCTTTCTTTAGCGCCCGTTTTTTAATGCTGGTGCCGGATATTTTTGGTTTTTTTTTGTTATATGTTTGATGCTTTCCAATGGCAGATTTTCTGTTTCCCAGGCGAAAACTTTCCCTTTTTTTTGTGTGTCCTATTCCTCAAATTAAAGCGGCATAAAAATGGTCAAAACACTGAAGACCCCTGCAGCCATCATCCCAGGGCCTGGATCCATGGCTGCCTCTTGTTTTTTTCCCTCCTGTGTGTTTGTGTGTTTCGGGGGCAACAACGAAACAACGAAAAGCGTTGAGCTAATTAAAATCATTTCATAAATTTACCATACCTTTGGGTATTCAAAAAAGAAGAAGAAAAAAAAGGAATACAACATGACACACACAAAAACAAAAAAGAGAAAACACGAATGACCGGAAACCAACACGCAATGAGATGATAGAGATGGACACCTGAGAGGGACCTTAAGCTCAGCTTAATCTACGTTAACCAGCACTTGGTTTAGTATGGAACAAGGGGGAATACAAAGGGATATTTTTATAACGATATTATCTTGATGGTGAGGCGCATTCCGTATTCTGTCCTATAAACATTATTTACCACAAATGTTATGTTGTAGAGTTATTTATCACCCAGTGTATTTGTCTTTTCAGATACTTGTATCGCTAGAAAGTGTAGAACTTTCGGAAGCCAAAAACCCATGTAAGTTTTCCAACACTGTTATTACAAAACATTATAAAACTTCTTCTATCCTTTGCATTATTTTTTTTCTATATGCAATATTCTTAATATTTTGCCCTTAATGAGGTTTTTTGTTAACCATCACTGGCTATAGCTGCCCAACACTGGCGCACATCTCTAGTCCCCTGCCCCAAACAAAAGAGAGAAATCCTGGAAAAAAAACGTGAATAAATTCAGGTCTAGGCGCAGGATGGGGCAGTGTGGAGGGTATAGTGTGAGGAAAGGGGCGGGTCGAACCGGATGGCCGTTGAGCCTGTGGCCAGGACGCGACACGTGCAACGAGCGGCGGCGCGTCAAATAGGAATTCATTAACAAAACGTTACACAAAATTTTAATTAAATATTAAAACATAAAAGTTTGCCGAGCAATATATTTGGTCTCTGGGTCTGGCGACAGTGTTTTTGGGAGACCACCAGCCCCCGGGCGCCACTAAGCCACCAGCCATGACATTGAGCTTTTGTTCAACGATGAAAGCGAGCCTGGGCTGAAGTGGCGGCGGGGGGGCTTGGTGCCGGTGGCTAGGTGGGTAGTCCAGTAATAGAAAATTAAGTTCTATTTATGTGCAAAAGTTCCTCATTAAAATCGAGCGGCCAAAAACTTTGATTAAACTTGTGCCACAGCCACTTTTATTCCATCTAATTCTTTTTTTTCTCTGCTGCTGCCGCTGCTGCTGCCACTCGTTTTATTTTCGGCACTCGGGGGCAACAGTTTGCTTTTATGCGACAAAACTTGTCGATAATTTAATTAGTGGAATATTCTGGCCGCCTCCAAAACGGCAGAGCGGGCGACCTGCCCGGACACGAGTAAATGCCCGAACAATAAATGCCAGAGGCGGAGACAGAACGACAGGAAGACAGAAGTACAACAAATTGCCCATAAGACTTGAAAGTAGCTTTGGGGCCAAAAGAAGTGGTGGGGCGTGGCAATGGCACCATGTCTTTCGGTAGGAGAATGAGCACGGTTTGGGCACTCGCTTCCTTCGGCTGGCGGGCATTTAATGTATCTTTAATTTCCCCTGTGGTTCATGTCGCACACAATCAGATGGAGGAGGCATGCACCTACACACAAATATGTTCATACATGTGTGTGGCCACAATTCTTTAGGCATTGAATAGATCCAGTATTCAGGGCTGACATCCTGCAATGAAAGGGCTTTCTTTAGTGAAAGTTTCACAAAATATGCGCGAAAAAGGAATCATATTTTTTTTGGCAAAAGTGGATTTCTAAGATAAGCTGCAAATACCACACGTAAAATATAATTTAACAGAATTTTAATGGAGATGATCTTTCTAGCGTTTCTAAGCAGCTGAACATCATAGTAGAGAACTGAAGGATTCCCGTAGTCCACACACACACACACACACACACACACACACACACACATACAAACAGAGAGAAGCAATCACACATGAGTGGACTTCTCGTCCTTATCCCCTAGCATCAACATTGTCCTCGTCCTCGTCCTCGTCGTCGTCGTCGTCCTCGTCAGCGTCATCAGTGCGTATTAACGCCCATCCAAAATCCAAATACAAATTGGAATTCTGACTCTGCCACACAAGACATGGACGTGGAAGAGATGGAAAGAGATGGGGAGTGGGAGAAAGAGAGAGGTAGCTACAGCTATTTGGGTTAGTCGCAGTCGCAGTGGCAGTCACAGTGGCCGATGAATGCCCTAGACAATAATAACGACTTGTAGTTAATGCCGCCGCTAAGCTAAGGAGCCGGGCGGCACGTACCACTGGGGGAATTCCCACAGAAATACAGACGGAGAAAACAGACGAAAATGAGAGAAAAAGGAGAGCGAGAGAGAACCCTTTTTAATTCGAGTTTAAGACTTTTGGGGCAAGAGGCTAATGATGCCGTTGGGGCAATGCCATTCTCAATGCCAATGGTCGAGGACGGTCGATGGAACAAGAACAAGAGTCCCAAGCAATGCATCCAATTAACTCTGAACAACTATGGCCAGGGTTGCCACCCACTCGTTTTGCAGTTTCAATCACAGTCCCGCAAAAAAAAAAAAACAAAAGTGTCGTGCGCGGTTGATCAGAGTATTACATCCCTATGTATTTTGGTGTCCAAAACACGAATGCAAAGTCAGATTTGCTCAATCACGTTAGGTTTTTTTTTCCACCATTTTTAATTTTTGAAAACTGACATTAAATTTTTAATCAGCGACTCCAAAAGCCCCCGAGTGACAAGTTTTAAGCAAATTAGATAAGATTTTCAAAAAAGTTTCCACCATTTTTCAACCATATTGGTTTTTTGAAATTAGAAGAAAAATTCGTGTTCAGGGCTCCAAAATACATAGGTATATGATACTCTGGTAATCAATACGAGCTATATTCATGAGTCTTTTGGGACGTCCGAGAACTCTTCCTCATCCATGGCCAAACAGAGCAGTCACTCGTTTTTCGTTCCGAAAGTTTCAAAGGTGCCACTGACTTTGATTTGATTGAGCACGAAATTTCCACATTTCCCCATTTGCAAGCACGTCCAAACATTTCGGGCCGGCTCAAAAAAAAAGAAGAGAGAGGCCTGGATTTTCAGCAGCACCAGCAGCAGCACTCAGTGTCCATCAGTCAAGGGCTGAGAAGGTTGAGATGGCCCTAATACTCCGACTAGGCGTGTTCACATGCCACGCCCCGAGCACAATGCCCCATGACACACATTGAATGCAACAAGCTTGCAACGAGCCAGCCACCAAAACGCAAACTACGTTGAAGGCTTGATGAAGGCTTTAAATACCCTTGCAGATTGATGGATTGTATTTAATATTCGGAAATTTTCTTCCTAGGATATATTGGGAGTAATTCAGGGCAGAAGTCTGTTCCCGTATCCCTAAAGATATATTCGCTAAAGGTTATTCCATTTCCTTTAGATAATTGCCCAATACTTTCTTTTGGTTCTCGTACAAATCTTTTGAATATTCGAAAAGGAAATACCCTCTAAACATCTTCCGGGACAAACTTGTCCGGAAAATACAAATACCTTTCTCGCGCGGCAGCAAAGGGTATGAATGAAGAGTGCAGCACAATCGCCTGGCCAGAATCCAGAACTGGAGCACATCAATGGGGATTTATAAAAAATGCAAATTCATTAGAGCAGCCGCCTGGGCGACCTGGACCGACCGACCGACCGCCTTCGAGTTCGGTGGGAGCTGGAGAGCTGGAAAACTGAAAACTCAACCGAAGAGAATTGCTCTACTAATTCCAGTGGCATGACACCGAAAAAAAAACAGTAAAAAAATAACGCCACAGCCAGAGCCTCAATCTCAACGTGTCAGCAGCGTGTCCGGTGAAAGTGCAGCGTCAGTGGTTCCCCAATACTTTCTTTTGGTTCTGTGGGAACAGCCGCAGCACTGAAGGCATAAGCAGATCCTGCATCAGAATTAGAAAAAGTGCAACCCAAGGAACTGGCAAGCACACATCAATGGAGCGATGGGGCGATGGAACGTGGAGCTCCACTGACACGTAAGACGCTCCACCCTTTGCTGGGGAAAAGAAGAAGAGCTTGCGATGAGAGGTGTGCAAAGGGGCCGGGGGGGGGGGGGGGGGGGGGGGGGGGTTCACTACAACTGTCATTTCTGTGGCAGATATATACCCGATCGCACGCACGTGCTGGCGAAGTCAAAAGCATTGGGGTGGGATGAGGAAGAGGGGGACTTTTCCACTGCATTGCAAATTAAATTCAAATTCGTTGCATACTTTGTGGCGCGCATTAAGCTTTAGACAAACGCCAGGCGGGTGCTTAGGAGGGGCGGCGCCTCGGCTCCACCACTAATAGCAGCTCTATGCAGCCACATAGTATGCTTTTCGGTTTAATGAAGCTGCCGCAGAGTGGCAGAGAAAAGACTGAATGGTGGGGCAACATCAGGAGCAGATTCTCCAAACTTCAGAAAAACTCTTTCGCGGCAGTCATAAGTTCAATCAACATCAAATTTAATTAAAACGCTAAAAGCATCCGACACGCCCACTAGCGCAAAAAAAGAGAAGAGCGAGAGAGGGGAGCGCACACCAAACGGAAATAAAAAGGAGCAAAAAGGAGACGAGCAAATGGCCAAGAAGTTGCGGCGGAGGAGACGGAGGTGGAAGTGGAGGTAGAGGCAGCATTAAAACGGAAATAATTGTGGTCTGTAGACCGGACACCAGACAAGGGATGGAGATGGCAGGCAATGGAGAAACTGAAGGGTCTGCTAGGGGTTGCCGGGTGCAATGAGAGTACAGAAAGGCTGGGGAGGACAATATACAGACGAAGTCTGTAGGGGTCTGGCGGTTTGGCGGTAGGTGAACGAGCAGGGACAACGACATTTGCAACACTTTTGGCTCGTAATTAAGTAGCCCAATGGCAGACAGACAGACAGACAGAAAGACAGACCGCTGGTCGGAAAAGGCCGCAGAATGGGGCAAGGCTGTGTGAGTGTGTGTGTGTGTGTGGCCAGAGCGCGAGCACGGAGGCGAGGAGGAGAGACAAAGCTAATCATAGTTACACAAATGCTTATGGCAGTATTATTGTAACTCCACTCCAGGCGATGATTAACAATTGAAATCGATGGAGAGCTCAACAGAGATTTCTTTAAACTGACTGAAATAAGCCAGGCTTAAACAAGAGAGCCAAAAAGTAAAGGAACCAGCATGGAATGCAGTTCGAACGAGAGTTTCTTTCCGTTTTCAGCTGTGGCTTCAGAGTGGCTTAAGAACTGTGAGGGGCTATGCAAGTGGCTTGCGGAATATATTCGAACAGTTCAAGCAGCTTAACGGTTGACTTCTGTGGAAGCCATTTGGTACAGAAGGTGGGGCAGTTGGTCGCTTAAGAAACTCAGTTATTGGGGATCGCAGGACTCACAAGCAGTGTACAAAGGGAATTTGTAACTGCTTCGAGCCGATTCGATTCCCCTCTTTGGCAAGCAGTTCACTGTACCCCCAGCAAGCAGTTCAACAGATGGACACTCAGCGAATTGGAAA